TTATTTGCTTGTGATTTGAAGTTGGGTGTTATCTTTCAGACATTGTGGTGTTATTGTATTAATCTGTTGTTTATATTTTGCTTCATTCTTTAAAAAAAATTATACCCGGAGAAGACAATGGTGTGCTACTCCAGTCACTGGTTTGGTAGCACTGGGGTGCTCACCTCCTGTCTCAAGCTCAAGTTGACAGGCGGTGAGAGTTGGAGTTTGAACAGAAGTCTCTGATGTGGGCAAGGTGACAAGTGTGGGAGATATGGCCGAGTAGTGTGGCTCTGCCTGATGGGGAAAAAAGTGGAAGGGGAGAGGAATGAATGGAAAGTGAGAGAGGAGAAGAAAGAAATTGAAAGGCAAAAAGCAAACAAGTATATAGCAAGAGTGTCACATGGCTCTGGCCGAAGCGTGGCACCTGCTCTGCAGGTAATGTGCTGCGTGGAACCGCGGGCGAGGGGCAGGGATTTGGACTGGCCACCAGAAGCATTGGTGCAGGGCTGTGGTTACTGGGAGGTTGTGCAGCATAAATGGGGAGGAAAACCTCTGATTGGAGACCACTTGTTTGGGTGTAGGTGTAGTTGATGGATCTAGTTATACGGTTCCTAACTCAGTCAGAATACTGCTGGCCACAATTCAAAATGGCTGTGCTGCCCGGGGCCACTTGATTCTAGCTTTTATGTGTCTTTGTGTGGTGGTTTTGCTCGATTGCTCCTTCTAGTTAATATTTGATTTTTTAAAAATCCTTTCCTTCGAACTTCGAGGTTCCAGTATTTCTACCCACATCTGTTTCATTTGCTTTCTTCAGTTTCTGTTGTAGAGAATCTGGGTTGTATATCTGCTAGTCAACTATCTTTGATTGACCTTGTGCATTCTAATTTAATGTTGAAAACAAAATGATAGATTGAAGGAGATACCAAAATATCTTCGATATTCTATGGAAAGTAGCCTGTGCCATAGAACTTCTGTGATGATGGAAATGTTTTGTTTATGTGTTTTCTGGTCCTGTAATCCCTAGCTAGATACAATTTATGAACAAATGAAATGTGCCTAGTGTGATTGAGGAATTTAAATTGAAATGTTCTTGTGTTTTAATGAATTTACATTTAAATTTAAACAAACAGTTGTGGGTAGTGGCTGCCATACTAGACAGTGTAGATAAACGGTCTAAATTAAGTTTTTAAATGTTTAGGTTTATTTACATTCCCAATAGTGAAAGCTCCGCCACTTCCTTTTATACCAGATTCTAAAGGCAATTCTCCTATACATTTAATAAGTTCTTATTTTCTTGGCTTTCTTGAGTGGCAGTCCATATTGTGATGTAAAACAAGTAGCTGTGAGTCATAGTAACCTTTTATGAAGATAATTCAAAATTCCCTCAACCTAACACTACCCAAGTACTGTCTTCTGGCATTCATCTTTGTGTGGACGGCATTTCTTAGTCCTTATTTGCTCATTTTCCTGATAAACTCATAGTCCTTTGCTAATAGTCCTTAGAAACTCATTTTCATTTGGGTCAATCAGCATGTTCCTAAGATTGGCTAGTGTGAACTTCAACAGCAAGAGGGAGAAGATAGTCATACATGTGTTTTGTTCAAGCTCTTGAATGGTAGGTTTAAGTGGAAGAATTTAAGCATTAAGAGTTGTCGCCTGCGGACAGATGTGAATGGAATGGTAGAAGTAATAACGCTCTAGCTGAATTACATCGGAATGTCTTTTCAATGGTTGTGGAGCCATATTTTTAAAAAGACTGATGATTATGTGGATGAGTTGTTCTGGTAGGTTTAGATTTTATGTCTTGGATTCATCAATATGGTGTGTTTTAGAAAGCAGTGACTAACAGTGCTGAGAAGGCTGCTGTTGCAAAGGATTGTAGAATCTATGCAGGTGCCGAGCCTTGAAAAAATATTTCCTGTATTTATAGACTGTAGTTTTTCAAATATATGTGTGAGGTGATATAGTTCTATTCAAAAACCTTACTTGAATTTTCAGCAACTTTTCTACTATATCTTTTCCCAAGTGGTACTAAAATTTCAATATCTATAATTTCAGGCCTTGTGAAATTTAATGACCTCAAAAAGTAATACTATTAAAAAAGGTTGAAAGGCAGTTTTGTAAGTTCTTCTATTTAGCTCAACGCGCCCTCTAGTGGAAAAGTTCTCATATCACTTTATGTTTGCTTTCTCATCTTTCCTTTATAAAGTGAGATTAATGTTGACATCTTAGCTTTGTTTTCCACAGTGATTACTTTTAAGATTGAGATATCTTTAATATCCAAGTAAATATGACATTTTAGGTGATAATAGGATTCTAAAACATTATGGGTGAGGTAGTTAGTTTATTGTGCCAACCTGGTTGATAAACACATGTGGGGTTAATTGAAGGGCGGAGGGATAAACGGCTCAGTAAGCCTCGTTTTTCGAGTTCTCGGGTCTCTTGCTTTCTGATGGTTGGACCAGGGTGCAGCTGCCTTAGCCAGTTCCCGCTTTAGCTGGCAAGGCTCACGTCATGCAAGACATCCCTGAGGAGAAGCCACATGGACCTACCCCGATGCAGCCCTGGGTGCTGGAGCAGCCGTGTGGAGACCCCTGCCAGCACTGAGATGTTTATACATTCACTGACTCAGCTTTCCTCCTGCAGGCGGCATCATTGCTTCTGTTTTGTGAGCTGGAGGACTTTGTGGATGTTGGACGTATAGGTTAATGTTGGACTTGTGGGCTTGGGCAGCACTGGGTTGGGATGTTTTCTTGATGTACACTTAACCTTTATATAAATCTCTCTTATACATGAGTTTCTGTGGATTTGTTCCTCTAAAGTACCCAGACTGACACAATGGGTGTAGGTGAGTAGGAGTTAGTTAAGTGTAAAAGTAGATGAAGTGACCCTTAAGCCAAGAATAAAAGGATAGGGAGTATCAACCAGATGTGAGGATGAGGGGAAATGTTCCCTGAGAGGGAACAGAATGCAGGACAGGACAAAAAAGACTACAAAGTAGGATTAAAACAAATGAAAACCCAACGGCACTGAGTCTGTTCTGACTCAGAGCAACCCCGTAGGACATAGTAGGACTGCTCCCTAATGCTTATGAAGCTACAAATCTTTTTGGGAAGAGATAGCCTCATCGTTTTTTCCTGGTCTGCTGCTGGTGAATTCAAACTGCTGACCTTGAGGTTAGCAGCCCAGTGTGTAACCATTATGCCACCAGGGGTCCTTACAAACTATGATTGAAAAAACTTCACTGCCATTGAGTTGATTCTGACAGAGTAGTGCTGCCCCTGTGGTTTCTTTCTTTTTTTTTTTTTTTTGCCCCTGGGGTTTCTAAGACTAAATCTTTGTGGGAGTAAAAAGCCTCATCTTTCTTCCAAGGAGTGGCTAGTGGTTTCAGAACTGCTGGCCTTGAAATTAGCAGCCCAGCATGCATAATCCCCTACACCACCAAGACTTCTACAAAGCTGGACAGAGTATGTTAAAAAGGGTTTTGATTCTTTTTTCAAAGCCCTATGTCTTAATATTGTTAGAATTTCCTTCCATAATAGTTTAGCTTAATTTTCTTTTCTTCATCTCTTCTTTGTTTCTACATTAGTATTTTGGAAGGAAGTTGGGAGAGGCTGTACTACTACCAGATTCATTTTTTCAAAATAGTGGAGATATAGTGTTAGTTGTAGTTATGTTGATTCTGACCAATGGCAATCTAATATGTATGGATATTTTATGGCCTGTAAGCTTAAGGATTCTGTAATTGTATCCAAACTCATTTTGCTGAAATTTTTATATCATTAGGGATACTTTTTCTCAAAAACTTTTGACTTTATATGAAGTTAATCTGAGAATGAATTTATAATAAACATCGTATATAACTTGAAACTAACAAAACATAAGAACATTTGTGCTGTATATAAGTTTGAAATGTCATAGAAAATTGCAGTCACAGTAGGTAAGTGGTAAAACATTATTTTAGAGATATTTGTTGAGAACTTTGAAAATTATTCTAAATGCTGTTGAGAAGCAAAATAATATTGAAATTAGAGTAGAAGATAAACTATAATTCCTATTTATTAGCAATGTCCATGTAAAGTAAATGTTTTGTGAACATATTTGGTGCTGCTAACTCATTTGGCCATACTTAAAATTCATTTGAGATGTTGCTTCTTCTGATGAACTTCCCTTGACTTTTTAGATACAGACCGGGGGTTAGAGGTATGAGAAAGCATGTTCAGGCATGCAGACATGAAGAATGTGGCACCACTGGGGAATTTAAATGTTCATGTGCTCATTTTAACTGATAGAGATTTCAATCTTGTAGCTGAGATGGTTGTTGTTTTTTATCGGCACAACTCAGTCTTGCAGGCAGTAAGTAGTGTTAAAGGCAATATTCAGTTTACTTTTGTTTGATGTGCTAAGCATGAGAACTTTATAAAGACATAGTATTAGTGCATAGCATATTAAATACATTTATAACAGCAGGTTACAGGATTAAAAACTTCATAATATTTTATGAAAATTACCATCTTTATAACTGAATAAGGTAGACGTTGTTTCCTTCTTTCTAAGAGGAACATTTGTTATTTTGAAGAAGCATTTATTCTTAAATCTCATATTGTACTGAAAAATCCCTCAAACTCACTATCATCAAGTTTATTTTGACTCATAGCAACTCTGTAGGACAGGGTAGAACTGCCCCTGTGGATTTCTGAGACTGTAACTCTTTATGGGGCCACTAAACCTCTTCTTTCTACCAAATAGCAGCTGGTGGTTTCCCCTTGCTGACCTTGAGGTTAGCAATCTGACTGTTAACCCACATGTTGTACTAGGGAAGCAATTTATAAATATGGTTAGTGTTTTTCTCTGTAGAAAACTTGAAACTTTAAATTCCTTAAAAATTTTATATGTAACAATTAAGACACATAATGACATATGGATTTAGGGTAAATTGTAATTTACTTGTGAAGAAAATATATAGCTGGGCTCTTAAGTTATTTGCTCACTGTAAACATCGTCTTCCTTCTCTGTAGGATTCTAAGCTGCCTTCCTCAGTTCGTAGTACGCTGTTGGAACTGTTTGGTCAAATAGAAAGAGAATTTGAGAATCTCTATATTGAAAACTTAGAATGTAAGTATCTCATCTGAATTTGCTTTCATAATTTTTCACTTATTTATTGAAACCTATGAGAGTGAAATTTGTGGGTAGATGTGCAGCTATTGTGTTAGTGTTCTGCTCTGCTGTTATAAGGCTAGAGGCTTGAAAGAACATTCCACCCCAAAAAGCTCTGCTATCCGATTGGGTGACAGCAGAGTACAGAGGCAATGACATGCGCTTTAAAGCATGGTCGATTTGTGGGCAGGTCAGGGCTCAGATTCATTCATTCCTTTAGCTTTGTGCCCTTGGACTGGTTATTTATCCCCACTGAGTGTTTCCTTATTTCTGTAATATGGATAGCAACATTGAATTTGCAGATTTGTAACATTGACCCGAAACACACAAAGTAATCAGTAGCATTAGCTTCATGTCCCTTCCCATCCCAGTCTCTTTGCTCATTCAACTCTTTATCCCCAATGGCCTTCTTTTTTATCCTTCTCTCTTGTGTTCTCCTGTAATACCTAATATTTTTGATAACTTCACTTGAATTCTAAATCTTGGTTTATAGAATCCTCACTTGTTGCTTATGTGAGCCATATCCTAAAGTTGTTGTTAGGTGCCATTGAGCCTGTTCCAACCCAAAGCATCCCCTATGCACAGTGGAATGAATGATTGCATGGTCTTGTGCCATCCTCACACTCACTGCGTCCAGTATATCAAGGGCCTCTTTAGCTACATCTTATTTATATGTTTCCCCCCACTCCCAATTGCAGTATCCTCAGCTAGACTGTAAATATATGATTGAATTTCAGACAGTATCTGAGTTATATTTTTAAATGCAAATACTAAAATATAAAGGAAACAGATTGTATTGAAGTTCAGGGCCACCCCCTGTACCCCCCTGCACTCCCAGCTTGGAAACTTTGAGAACGTAATATCTAACAGAATATAGAAAGAGCTTTTCTTTTTGGAATATTACCATACTCATTCTTTCTTTGGTTTTCATATTTTAGTAATAAATTCTATTTCATTCCTAATTTTTCAGATTAGAATATAACCCCAAGTTGTGTTTGTCTTTTTTATACTTGCTAGGGATTTTGTTTTTTGAGAATCATGATCTTATTTAGTAGATATGATTCATGTTTTTATTTAGACAACACTAAGATATAACATTGTATATGCTCAAGTCTTAGAAGTAGTGAATATATTAAAGCATAGAATATATATTTTGTAATTAACTTAGAAAAAAAAAACCCTTTTTTTATCCTTAGTACGTAGAGAAATCGATACCCTTAATGAACGGTTAGCCGCTGAAGGACAAGCAATTGATGGGGCAGAACTGAGTAAGGGCCAACTCAAAACAAAAGGTAAGGCTGAGTGCTCATAAAAGGGTTAGCTCATAAATGATGTCCTGAGGACATTTGGAAGTGAATTTGCTCTTTGTAATCAGGTGTGGGCCTAGAAGAGTACGAAGCCATTGTCTGTTTGTCACCTTGGGCAAACGAACTTTTCTGGGTTTCACATTTTTCCCCAGTGTGAATGAGAGGTTGGATTTGCTATCTCAGGCTTGTTCCAACTTTGAAATACTGTGATTCTTTAATTGTATGATTGTGTTTGATTGTCAACTCTTTGTCTCTACAGCCAGTCATAGTACCAGTCAGCTTTCTCAGAAATTGAAGACTACTTACAAAGCTTCCACTAGCAAGGTATGCAAGACACTAACCCTTGGTTCCACGTCAGTATTTACTCTTGAACCAATCATGTGGTATTTAAGATGTGTAGATGTGTACTTTAAGTTGCATATTTTTCAATTAGAAATGTGTAACAGAAAAAGGTAAAATATCTTGCTTTTAGTAAAAATTTATTTTAAAAAGGAATTGCATAGATATGTTAAATAAACACATTATATAGACACTAAACACTAACCTGCCCTAATGTTTATCAAAACCAATACATTATACATTAGTAAATAATATCTTTAGAGAAAAAAAGTCTTTTCTGTTGTTAATTTGCTTGACATAAAGGCTCTGCATTTGGAAAAGCAAATGAATGTGTATAAAGCAAGGGAAATATATTCTGCGTTGTAGCTACATTTCAGCTCCCTATGTCTCTCGATTTCTCAGTATGATTACGAAATGAAGACCTGTCTCTGAGGCAAACAGGGTCATTCTTGGTATTTTGCTTTCTCTTAAAATGCTTTGTTTTTGTGTTCTTAAAGTAGCAAGGCTTTAAGTGTATATGTGATGGAGTGTGATTGGGAAATAATATTTTGAGATGATCCTTATATACACCTCTGGAGGATTTAGTAGTCACAAAAGATTACCACTTAACTTTTTGGATGAATGTACATTGTTTTTGTTAAATGTGAAAGAGAAGGTTGATAATTGCATTGAAATCAGCTGTGATGTATAAATTGCTCTTGCTAACATCCTTCCTACCCCAATTTGTTACCTTGAAATTAAAGTTATTTAGGATGACATCTACAGTGAGAGTAACTGTGATTAGTAGGACAAATACAGTCTTTGCCTGTTTCTGTTTATTTGACAGTCTGTGATAATAATTTCCTTTTCTTTTTTACTGTGAATGTTGCTGGTATTTTCTACTATTTACTTTTTTGGATAAGCTCTAAAATTGAAGTTGCAAATTACTGTGATTTTTTTTCTTTGTCTTGTAATATTATAATTTAATTTACACTTACTAGTTTAAGAAATTTCAATAAATTAACATGAGAAATTTTTTCAAAATTAAGTATGATTATATTTTTTCCTCACTTAACTCCTCCTTCCCCGCTGATACATTGCTTACTTTGGGAGTTGCAGTTCTATGTATACCATGTATGGTCCTAAAATTCTAGATTTTAAACTTCATTGGTTATTTCTAAAGTAGAAGAGGATTCATGACTTTCCCTCCCTCAGAGCCATGAGAGGCAAGTGGCATGTGTGGTGAGATAGTGGGGAATCAAGGGTACATTCAGTGAACCTACAAGATGTCTTCCTCCTTGGGTGGCTAATGACATATTCCCTAATGCCTTATTGGGAGGGAGATTAGACAATCTAACATGCAAATCACTTCAAATAATTTTGTGAAAATATTCACAAAGTAATATTTTAATAAACATTCCATGTCTTTCATGGTGAGAAAAGTCCCTTGAGTAAAAAATATCTTAGCGTGTATTTTGATTAAAGTGACAGATGAGGATGACAGGAGTAAGCCCCATTTGCTGCTTCCTTCAGCTACTTTTCTGCCATGAATGGTTTTCCTACATCTTTCAGTCTGTGCTTGGGCCTCTGTGTAATCTTGACTAAGTACTGTTTCTAAGAGCAAATGATTTAGGTTGACAGGTGATCAGAGTATATAGATATTTTACAAACAACCTATTAGGTGAATTGGTATAACATCCATAAACAGCACATTTTTTTTTCTTTTGGCCTCTGAATGCAATCAAAGAATGTGATTGAAGAGAATTCTCATAGCAATTGAAAGACCTTTTTCTGTTCTTATGTTATAAATCGACTAGGTAAGCAATTTGACTTAAGTAGTGTATTTCATATAATAATAATAATAATATATTACGAATATATTAAGCAATTTGACTTAAGTAGTGTATTTCATATAATAATAATAATATATTAGGAATGGTGAGATACTTGGAAAATGAAGTTTGCCATAACTTAGTTACGGCGAAGAGTTCTGCGTCTTCTTGCAGATGTCATACTCTTAGTATCTCCATGGCACTTTATGCCAGCACAAGCACCTTTTTCACCTGTCAAGGTGTAATTTGAAGGATTGAATCCTAAGATATTGAAAAAGAAACCAAAAAGATAATAATGGGTTTGAATAAGTCCTTTTAGATTTAAACTAGGTCAGATGGAACCTCTTTCTATTACACCCATCATCCTGTCTCAGTCACTCAGTGTGTCAGCAGGATAATTTGATGCACATACCCGGATTGATGTAACAGTGGCTTATACTTTAATTTGCTTATACTAAGAGAGCATTGATAACTTTCCGCTGCTTTCCTTAATCAGTGTTTAAGCTATATAGTAACCACCGGTTTTTCTTATTTCCACTTGATTTTACAGTTCCATTATTTTGAATAACCTACATTATTCTGATTTACTCAAAAGCTAGGAAGTCATTGTTGTATCTGAGAACAATTTTAAAGAAAAACTCTGGAGACATTTTTTGTTTAGAGTCTTTCTCACTTGTTTTTTTCTTGTAAGAGAAAATCAGAATTGGCTGTTGTGTATACCATGCTACAAGACAATACCTTTACTGTTGTACGCATCACATCACGTGTATTGTTTTCATGTCTGTCTGCTGTTAGACTGTAAGCTTCTTAAAGGCAAGGAATCCTCGTTTTCTTCTTTGTGTCTCCTGCTTCTAGTACCGTGTGCTTGGCACCCAACAAGTCTTCAATAAATGACTTTGAACCAACCTTTTCATTTGTTAGCAGTGTCGTCTTTTTGATTCCTTTCTCAGGGATTTTCTCCCTCTTGATAATAATGTGGTTGTTGTAAACGATCAAATTAAAAAAAGAGAGAGAAAGTCCCCTAGTAGTATAAATAATTTTTGTTAGTAGTTTGGGGGTGCATCTTCCTTAATTTTTTCTTTTTGAACTGGCTAGCTAGCTAATTAGCTAACCCCAGAGGTTGGAGCTTTTGTTTATTTGAATTTGTGGAAGAATAACTGAAAACACCAAAATAAATTTTTATTCAGAATTAACAATGCTCTGAATAACATCAAAGGGGATCGAGGGGAGGCCTCTGAAATTTTCCTAAGGACTTTTAAGGCATTGTGTGTGATATCTGCAGAATGAATCTACCACATTTCCATTCTGCTTACACTTGGCTTGTGTCCATTGAATGTTTTAAATACTCTTATCATGACTTACACGCTTTTCTCCAAGACCCCCTCCCCCCCCCTTTTAAAAATCTTCATAGAATCACTTCAGTGTATTGCTTAAAAATATACCTTCATTTTACTATTTTGCTAGATTGTTTCCAGCTTTAAGACTACAACATCCAGGGCCATCTGCCAGCTTGTGAAGGAGTATATTGGTCACAGGGACGGAATCTGGGATGTGAGTGTTGCCAGGACACAGCCAGTGGTGCTGGGAACTGCATCTGCTGGTAAATTTTGAAAAGACTCTTAAGATAGAGAAAAACTAATTACGCTAGCTTATTGGGAAACAGTTGCTCAGAAACTGGTTACAACTTCAGACTTTTCAGTTGTCAGTAATAGAATGAGCCCTGTAGCAATAGTTGGATTGAATTAGTTACTTAAACAAGTTAGATTTTTTTGAGTAATCAGCAGTGCTTATTACTTAAGACCGTGAAGGTTACCTTACTTACTACAGCTGAGTGTGATATTAAATATCACAGTAACCTTAAATATCCAAGTACCGAAATAGTTGTTCTGCCTGGATTTAATTTGTTTCAAAGAATTGGTATTTTAACATGGACAATATGAGATGGAATATTTATTAAATGAATTAGATTTTTTTCCCCCTGATTGACTTTCTTGATATTCATATCTCCCGCTCTTGGGAGGTCAACATATTGATGCCGAACTTAGTGTGGACACCAGTGCTGCGGAGCATATTACAGCCCAGAACTCCTGACTTCAGCTGTAGCCCACCGAGTAGCTGGGACTTCTGCTGGCGCATGCCTGGCAGAAGAGTATTTTTTGATAGGAGTATTTCAAATGACTTTTTCCCCCCAGGAGATCTGGTGGTGTAGTGTTTTATGCATTTAGCTACTAACTGCAAGGCCAGTGGTTCGAACCCACCAGCTGCTTTGTGGGAGAAAGATGAGGCAGTCTATTCCTGTACAGACTTGGGAACTTAAAGGGGCAGTTCTACTCTGTCGTTGGTGTAGGGTCACTGTGAGCCACAGTTGTTTCGATGGCAGTGAGTTTGGTTTTTTTGAGTGAAGCACAACTGTAGGAAAACATGTCATCTGAGGAGTTTAGCCAGAAAGGAAGACTGGACTCTGCTAGAGGGTTTACCTCTAGGTCCTAGAAAAAAGCGGTGGTAGAGACCCTTTTCTTATTAAAGATACTTTATCCCAGTTACCTAAGGTGCCACAAATTGATACCCCTTCAGGTAAAAATTGCTAACGTTAAAAATGGTGATTGCTTGTTGAAAATAATTCTCCTAGTTTGTCAGAAGTTACTTCTTGGATCCTGCTTTTTAAAATGGATGTAGAAAATGGTAAATTAGTTAGTGCTCTGAAGAAAGTGTGCTCTTTCTTTTGCTGCTTCTCTCATTTGAAATTATGCTCATATGCAAGTGTCCCAGGTTACTTGGAAATTATGCTAAACAATGAGCGAACAGGGCCCTTTTCACATATTTCTGAAATTCCATTTGGATAATTGGCATTTATTGCTCATATTTTCCTTAAAAAATTAATAAATTTTTAAAAATTGTGCCTATAAGAGGACAGGCCTAAAGGAATATTACTACCTGACTAGTATGTTTTTGGATTGGGATGGTGTTAATTTGACTTAAGTACCCTACGATGTCTTAACAAGTTTAATGCAGCAACACAATGATGAAGTCATATAAGTGACCGCTATAGTGTAAGCCTGGAGCATGAAGTTCATATAATAACGAGTTACAGAATCTTGTTCCCATGTCTGTATTTGCCGATTATGTGATGTTGGAAAAGTCTCCACATTCTCAGGTCTTTTTGGAAACGTTATTATCTTTGGTTGTTTGAATTACAAAGTAGTATCAATTTGTAGAGGAGCCCTGGTGGAGCAGTGGTTAAGTGCTTGGCTGCAAACTTATTAGAGATCTGTGGTTTGAACCCACCAGCCGTTCTGAAGGAGAACAATGTGGCGGCCTGTTCCATAAAGATCACCACCTTGGAAAGCCTATGGTGCACTTCAACTCTGTCCTACAAAGGCCACTTGCTATCAGTTGGAATAGACTCAGTCCACAGTAGTGGGTTTATTTGTTTTATGTTGTAAGAGATATTACTGATAGTTTAACCTCCTATCTTTAGAAAACTTGTTCTTTTCTGTAAAAGACGTTGCAATTGGTCATGGTTAAATGGCTACTTTTTAAAAAACTTCTACTTTCCAGATCACACGGCTTTGCTGTGGAGCATAGAAACAGGAAAGTGCCTTGTCAGATATTCAGGCCATGTTGGATCAGGTAAGCATGGACACGAACACTTTCTTTTCTTTTTTTTTTTTAACATTTTATTAGGGGCTCATACAACTGTTATCGCAGTCCATACACACATCGATTGTGTAAAGCGCCTTTGTACATCATTCTCAAAACATTTTCTCTCCACTTAAACCCCCACATTACGTCCTCATTTTTCCCCTCCCTCCCTGCTCCCCCCTCCCTCATGAGCCCTTGATAGTTTATAAATGGGTATTTTGTCATATCTTGCCCTGCCCGACGTCTCCCTTCACCCACTTCTCGGCTGTCTGTCCCCAGGGAGGAGGTCACATATAGTTCCTTGCAATCGGCTCCCCAGAACACTTTAGTTTCATATGTCATGTCCAACTGTGATTTGCTTTTAGAAGTTTGCTTTATAAAATCAACCTAATTGCCTGATTGAAAGCTTTATTATTTTGGCTGTTGGTGGGCAGTCTGATGATATATCTACAGGGCAACATAAATTGTAACTTAAGCTTACAGATTTTATAAAGGGAAAATAACTTGATTCTTTAAACAAGGCACAAATAATATGAGGGAGTACCCCCCCCCCCGCCCAAACTGGAATTTTTTTTCAAAGCTATGTATTTAAATTGTTTTACAAAACAACTCTTCCAAGTACTCTCCATTACACTTACTACCTTTGTCAAATCTGCGATTCCATTCTTGGAAACATTTTTTCAAACCCATTGGTTTGGATGGCTGACAGCACCTCCCTCTTTTTTCCCTTTATCTCTTCAACATTCCCAAATCACTGACCTTTCATGTCCCTCTAAATTTGCGGAAACAAAAAGAAGTTGCGTGGAGAGAGTTCAGGTGAGTAAGGTGCATGAGGCAAGAGAGGTGTGTTTTTTGCCAAGAATTGCCACACTGAGATAGCTGTATGAGCAGGTGCACTGCTGTGGTGGCAAAACCAGTCCCCCATTTGCCACTTTTACACTATCTTTTCAAAATTTTTAAATAGAAAGCTTCATTAATAGTCTGACCTGGTGGAACCAACTCCAAGTGTATTATGAGTCAACATTTTCATCTGTTTGGGAAGTTGACAAATGTCCAAAGTGAGGTTTGTCATCAATCGACATTTCACCGTTTTTGAAACGAGAAAACCACCTATACACTTGAGTTTTTCCCATAGCGCTGTTCTTGTAAGCTGTGTTCAGTATCAGCAATTTCTGTGGCATTTTTCCCCAAGCAGGAAACAGATTTCATAGCCGCACGCTGTTCTCTTAAATCGGCCATCACAGAAGACAAGGTTCGAGTGAAACTGCTTTCATGAAAAAAGTCACTGTGACCAGAGAGAACTTTCCCAGTTGACGCCACTGAGTGCACTAACACAGAGAGTTGTTTGATATTTGCCTAGTGGGAAAAATGTATATGATGAAAGCTGTGCTCTGCCCAGCACAATCCCAGTTTTTTGGGGGTACCCCCTCTTATTAACCTAAAGTGTATCAGTTTATGAAGCCATTTTTAGGAAAATTTGAAATTGAACTATGTAGTGAGCATTTACACAGAAAATTGGCTTCTCATTTAATACTTTCTAGTGTTATAAATCTTTACTCTGTCATTACCTGTTTTTCTGCAGGATAGTGTCAATGTTACTACAGTATTGCCTGTAATTATTCACGACAAGGCTTGGAAACTATATATAATAGGTGCTCAAAATGCAACCAAAGTTTGTTAAACCAGCGACTAATTGCATTTTGTTTCTTCATCTCCAGTGTACACTTTAAAAACAAAAAAATTAAAGGCATATCCACAGTTTGAAAATTTAAAAATAAGTCTTTTCCTTCATCTCTTCTTACTGTTTTTTACTGCACAAAAGTCAACCACTTTGAACTTTATTTTATATTAACTTTAAGATTATTTTCCTTTCGTTCTCATTTTTTCTGAGTGACATCTGATTAAATTATTTCCTAATTTTTAAATTTTAGAAATAACTCTTATTAAGGAAAATGAAGATTTACCTCACTTGTCAATATATATTTCTTTCTTCTTATCACCCTCAAAATGCTTTATCATAATTTCTACTTAAATGAGAATTCAGACTTTACTTAATTCTGACTGGATCAATATTTTTCAGTTGCCCATGTCCTCTCCTTATTTGATTGCTATTTTTCATTTTCTCTCGAGTGACTAAGTCCCCTCCCACACTTAATTAGTTTTTTTTCATTTGTCTGGATTTATATAGGCTCCTAAGAACTAAAATCACGACCATTGAGTCTATGCTGACTAATAGTGACCCTAGAGGATAGGGTAGAATTGCCCCTGTGAGTTTCTGAGACTCTTAACTGTTAATGGGAGTAGAAAGTCCTGTCTTTTCCCTGTGGAGTGGCTGGTGGTTTTGAACTGCTCCCTTGCAGATTGTAGCCCAACTCGTAACCAATACATCACCAGGGCTTTCTATATGTATACTAAATTCCTATTTAAACTCTGCCAAATAGGCAAAATTATGTAGTTTGATCAGATTCAGCCAAGAGTGCATTTGTTTTTTTATATTCCTGGTTCCTCTCCTGGAGTTCTCCATCTTTCTCTGCTTGGATTTGGTAGGTAGGCCTTTGAACAGCATCGCCCTGGAAGTTTCCCTGTGGTATCAAATTAGGGAGTCTCTTTACCTTTCCCTTGTACTAAGTACTCCCCCCACCCCCTTTCTTCAAGGAAGCATATTTCTCAATAGCTTCCTTATGAAAGACGACTTGGAGGTAAAAATTTAGTGACCTTGAATGGTTGTAAAATACATTTTAGCCTTCTACTTGATTGATCATTGGGCTGGGTATGTTTTTCTACATGAGGAATGCTTTTGAAAAATGTGAAATTATAACTCTGTCTTATCTGTACAGCTTCTAGAACTGATATTAATAAAGCTAATGCTCTTTTGAATCCTGATCCTTTACAGGTGATCACTTGTTTCCTTTTGAAGCTTTTAGAACTTTTATACTTTCCTATGGATTTAAAAAAATAATGTATTTTGTTGGACATTCAGTGAGACTTTTTAGTCTAGCAATGCATGCCATGAGTTCTGGAAAATATGTGTCAATTTTAAAACACCTTTCCCCTCTTTTTTTGATTGCTTTGGAACTCATATTAGTAGGATGAGCCCAATGATGAAGTGCTCAGGTGCTAACGGAAAGGTTTGTGGTCTGAACCCACCAACCACAATACAAGGAGAAAGAGATGGCCGACTGATTCCATAGGCCTGCAGTCTTGGAAGCTCAATAGGATAGTTCTGCATTGTCCAAAAGATTCACTGAGTCAGAATCAATTTGAAGGCAATAGTGGATTTTTCTTTCTTTGTTTCTCTCTTTTTTTTTCTAATTCTCTGAAAGTTCTTTTAGTTCATAACATCCCACACAAGCTTATTTCTTCAACTTGTTAAGAACGTGAACCTGTCTTCTGGGGGTGAAGAAGTGACGATAATGGGGAAAATAGGAGTGCTAGCTGGAAATGTAGCTGCTTTTTATACAGACATACAACTCTTCCTGTGTTTAAGCCCATTACCATATTGCTGGCTTCAGTAATATTTTAAGACTTTTAGGATTTTATTATTTGTAAACTTTTTATTTGCAGTGTAACACTGTCTTTGTGTTCTCCAGAGAAATAGAACCACTAAGACACACATATGTGCGCACAGACTCAATGCACAATCACACGAAGGTGATTGAAAAAGTATTGATACTAGGTTCCAGTTCATAAATGTATAGATTTATTCCAAATCACACCTGTGTCAACGTGTCTCTGTCTGCAGACAAGTCCTCTCAGTAATACACTTGTCTTAGTCTTGTTCGGATGCCTTCACAAAATAGGATACCATTTCGAATCAGAAAATCATAAGATTTTGTTATGCTTGGAATGACACAATCAAGAAGATAGCATTTTCTTTTTCTGAGGAATGGCATTTTTATTGCCACAATGGACCTTGTAAGATCTATCTTACAATGCTAGAGTTCACATAGAATTTTGCAAGACAATGATGTATTCATAGCAAATACTTTTTTCCCCCAACAAGACAAGCAGCAGCTACACACATGGACTTCTCTAGATGGTATCAAATTGACCACCTCTGTGGGAAGAGACAATGGAGAAGTTGAAATCAGCCTCTGAAACGAGACCAAGGGCTGCCTGTGGAACAGGCCACAAATTTTTCATATGTAAGTTAAGGTCGAAGCTGAGGAAAATGAAAACAAGTCCACGAGAGTCAAACACAACCTTGAATATTGAAGTGGTGTATTGACAGCTGCTAGCGGTCCAGGCAATTTAGCGGAGGACTTGGAATAAGGGATATCATTGCTGATCCCAACTGGATCGTTGCTGAGAGCACAGAATGCCAGAAACAGTTTGCTGCTGTTGTCAGGTGCCATTGAGTTGGCTTTGCCCCATACCGACCCTGTGCACAGCAGAACGAAACGTGCACGGTTCTGGGCCATCCTCGCCACTGTTCTTATGCGTGACTTCACTGATGCAGCCGCTGTGTCCGTCCATCTAGTTGAGGGCCTTGCTCTTTCTCACCGCCCTTCCACTTTCCCAAACATGATGTCCCTTTCCAGGGACTGGTCGCTCCTGATATGTCCAAAGATCGTAAGAGAAGTCTTGCCATCTTTGCCTCTTTGGAGCACTCTGGCCTCACTTCTTCAGATACAGATACATATCGGGTTGTCCTTTTCAGCAGTCCATGGTACTTTGAATATTCTTCTCCAGCACCGCAATTGAAATGTATTTATTCTTCTATGGTCTTCCTTATTCAGTGTCCAACTTTCTTGTGCAAAAGAAAGATGTTTGCATGTGTTTATGGACTGTGAAAAGGCACGCAACTGTGTAGATCATAAACTATGACTAGCCTTGAGAAAAACGGGAATTCCCGATCACATTATGGTGCACATGTGGACCTTGTACATGGGTAAGAAGCAGTTGTGTGAACTGCACAAGGGCATACTGCATGGTTTGAAAACAGGAAAGGTGTACACCAGGGTTGTATCCTCTCACCGTACTTGTTC